AAATTGGGTCAAAAACTGATACTTATTAGTCTCGGTTGACATAAAACTACAGACAATAACTCAGTTATAACTGTTTTTGACTAAAAATATTTTTTGGTTTGCGTTTAAATATACTTTTAATTAGTTTTGGTGAAACAGGAATTATGCAATTCTGCACTAATTCTTGTTATAAATATTTTTTGAATTATAAATAATTTTTTTGTTAAACTTTGTTTCACTATTCACTTATAATTGTATTCAATTTTAGCTGACTTTCAATTCAAATATAATGTTAAAACTTTAAATAAATGTTTTATTTTTGTGTCCAATGATCTGTGCGTTGATTGACAGCAAACTATCCCACAATACATGCTAACTATTTATAGCTTATCCCTAACAAAATTAAATCGTTGTTATTTTTAATAAAAAGTTTTAACATAACAAAAAAAGTTTATTATGTTTTCTACGGACACTTACCTATCAATACTGATGGCGATGAGGGTATAGGCGCTGACAAATACAGTGACCGCTTGTGAATAACAGACAACAACACACATGAATGGCCCGAACGGCCAGTACTGGAGAAGAAGGTTAGACACGAATGTGAAGGGAATACAGAGTGCGGCCATCAATATGTCGCCGACGGCCAGATTTAATATGAATAGATTGGTCACAGTTTGCATACGTTTGTACCGAAACACTATGTATATAATGAAACCGTTGCCCAGAATCGCGGCCAACCATATGATTGTGTACATCACATACATCACCACCTATTATGATAAAACCACTTGGTTAATTTTAAAAGTTGTATTTATATAACTAACTATTATTATGAAATTAACTATAAAAACAATACTTCAAACACATTGTTAGTCTTGAAGTGGTAATCGTTTGAGTCGTTTGTTTTTTGTGCGGTTACTGACGAGAAAGAAGTGGTGACATCCGATGAAGAGGTGCTGTTAAGAAGAAGCACTTCTATCAAGTTGTTTATGGATGCGTTTGGTTGTTGAACATTATGTAGATTATTATGATAATTGTTACCATCGATTGTATTATTGGTAAACATTTTGGTAACACATGAAAGGATGTGATGAAGAAGTGGATGAACTGAACAACAAAAAAGTCACAGAATATCTAATGGCATAAAGTTTAGGATGTTTTTTATTTTTAGTTTTAACTGTTTTACACAAATGTTATAATTGATAAGCGGGTGGTTAACTGAGCGCACATTTACTCTTCACTCTACACTTATTATATATATAAATATTCTGGTATTTAACTGTATATATACTGTTTAAATCTATGTAGAATATACTGTATATGGTATGTATGTATAACCGTCTGTATATATATTCCCAATGCGCTCACAAAAACACATCAAATTATATTTGACTGATTGAATACACGTTATAACGAATGTGTTAACGATTTATCATAAATTTTCACTAAAAATACACTGTTTTTCTCCGATTTATAAGTTGTGAGAAAAGTGTTTTAAATGTTTAATAAGGAAATAACACTTTAAAAAGTAAGAAATACAAGAATTTAATTTTAAATTCAGGTTTTACTCAAATTTAAATTGAGTTAAACATTGAAACGAGTGGTGAATTTTCGAGGAAAAAACAGCGATAAATCAAGACTTGAAATGTAAAGTATGTTTCAGTCGATCGCTTTATTTGTATCTCAAAATGAGTGATTCGTGTAATCATTATCTGTTGCTTTAATTTATTGTCAAATTCTGTATATATTCTTGCATTTCCTGCAAATTTATACACAAGAATGCTATGAAAAACTCAATCTATAGATAATAGTCTATATATCAGAAAAGATACCGCTTATAAAGATATCAAACAAAAAATTAAACATAAAAAATACAACTTGTTTTCCACTGAATTATATGTTAAGAGATATTTATTTAATAATCGGAAGAACACTATAAGAGAAGCGATAGAGAGTTGTAGCGAAAAAATTGTAAGGAAAACAAGTCTCAGATTTCACTTTGAAATGTCAGCGAATGACACAAAACAGAGATTTGCTTTTTGTTTGAATAGAGAAACACAGCTTTTATTATAGTTTTCACGTAAGAGGCGGTCAGTTGTGTAGAAACGATGTGAAAGGGATGAGAGGGAAGGACACACTCTAAACGCAACTCTATTTCTAATGGCAAATATAATTCAGTACTAAATCTACTGACAATATATTTGATAAAGCAATGGGAATAACTCCTCTCTCTCTCTCTCTCTCTCTCTCTCTCTCTCTCT